AACATGGGCACATATATATCACTCTGATATGACCTCCAGTCCTAATTTTTTGAGGACTCTCTATACTGATTTTCATGCAGTTGCACAATCAATACTTCTACCACAGTGGAGAACAGTTTTTCCCTGCCCCCAGCCCTGTCAATGTTTGTTATTGGTTGATTTCTTGATAATAACCATTCTTTCTGGAATGAGATGAAATCTTAATGCTGTTTGAATTTGTATTGCTCATATGACTAGTGATATTGAACATTTCTTCATATATTTATTTGCCATTTGTATTTCTTCATCTGAGAAGTACATGTTCATTCAGATGCCTGTTTTTGGATTAGAGCTTTACATTTAGGAGTCTGATATTTTTCTTTCTTTTTTTTTTGTGGTACCAGGGATCAAACTCATGACCTTGTGCTTACCAGGCAAGCCATTGAGCTAAATCCCCAGCATCCCCTTTTTTGGAGTATGATATTTTTCTGTTTGTTATATGTTCCAGATATTAGTCCTTTGTCTGAGGGACAACTGGCTAAAAAATTTTCCCACTCTGTGGGTTGTTTTTTCATTCTGTTGGTGATTTCTGTTGCTGTACAAAAGCTTTTTAATATGATGAGATCACAGTTGTTGATTCTTTATAGTTTTTAACCATGCAGTTGGAGTTTTCTTCATGAAGTCTTTTCCTATACCATTTTTCAAGTGTTTTGCCTATTTTATCTTTCAGCAGATTTAGTGTTTCTGTTTGAATATTTAGATCTTTTATCTATTCTTATTTTAGTGCATGGTGATAGACATGGGTCTAGTTTTAATCTTTGGCATGTGGAAATCCAGTTTTTCCAGGACCATTTATTAAAGCTGCCATCTTTTTCCAGTGAATGTGTTTGGCCCCTTTGTCAAGGATAAGGTGACTGAATGTGTTTGGGTTTGTTTCTACATCTTCTGTTCTGTTCCACTGATCCCCAAGTCTCTCTATCTCTCTCTTTCTCTCTGTGTCTGTCTTTCACCTTCTGTTGCCAGCACTGTGCTGATTTTATCACAGTAGCTCTGTAGTATAATCTGAAGTCAGGGATTTTGATGCCCCTTGCCTTGCTTTTGTTCCCTAGAATTGTGTTTGCTATTCTAGGTCTCTTCTTGTTCCAGTGAATTTTAGGAATGTTTTCTTTAGTTCTGACAGGTATGCTGTTGGAATTTTGATCAAGATTTCATTCAATCTGTGTAGCAGTTTTGGAAGTATGGTAATTTTCACAATATTGATTCTTCCTACTCAAAAGCAAGAGATATATTTCCATTTTTTGATATCCCCTTTGATCTCCTTTTTCAAAGTACTGGAGTTTTTAGTGCAGAGATCTATTACTTCCTTTGTTAAATTGATGACTTTCATTTTTCAATGCTATTTTGAAGCTGTTGTTTCCCTAATTTTCATTGAGTTTGTTGTTTGTGTATGGGAACTCTATTAATCTTAGAGTATTGACTTTGTATCCTGCTATGCTCTTGAATTTGGCTATTAAATCTAGAATTATTTTGGTGAAGTTTTTGGAGTCTTTTGTGTAGAGTGTCAAATCATCAGGAAATAATGATAATTTCACTTCTTCCTTTCCTATCCTTATTTCTTTCTTTTGTCTAGTTTCTTTTGTCTAATTGTTCTGGCTAATGTTTCCAGAACTATATTAAATAGGAGTGGTGATAATGGACATCCTTGTCTTGTTTTAAAAAAAGTTTTAAAAATTATTTTGAAGGTAGTAAAATAGAACAAGACACAACATATTGAGACAATACAGTGAAATTGGTACAAAATATCACAGCAGGTTACTGGGATAACAATAATAGGCACCATAGTATATCTTATTATCTTCATAATAGTTTTCCTTTTGTTCAGGTACAGCAAATTCACACCAAATACAGAACATTATAGAACTTATCAAAACAGAATATTGAATAGAGCAATACAGTTAATCAGACCAAGCAAAACAGTGATAACAATATTTGCCTTCACAGAGATGATAGAAGGAAATCCCCCATATTTGCTATATTGCATATGGTCAATCTCCCAAGAGATGCTCAGACCTCTGGCTTCCATTTGCTAACAGCAGGGGGTGGGGGAGGATGGGATGTTTGTCACAGTTGCTTAGGGAGGTGAGCGGGTTGCTTTGTTTCCCAGTGCCTTAAGTTCCAACATGGCATGGATCTTGGGAGATGCTGGCTGGTTCTGTCCCTGGGACAGCTGCTGCTCACTTGAGCCATGGCTGCTTACCAGGGAGGCAAGCAGGTTGCTTTCTTTCCCAGCGCTCTAAGTTCCAACATGGCGTGGATCTCGGGAGATGCTGGCTGGTTCTCTCCTTGGGGCACCCGCCGCTTGCTCAAGCCACAGCTGCTTACCAGGGAGGTGAATAGGTTGCTTTCTTTCCTAGTGCCCTAGGTTCCAACATGGTGTGGATCTCAGGCTTGTCTTGTTCTTGATTGTAAGGTGGAAGCTTTCAGTGTTTGCCCATTAGTACAATGTTGGCTGCTGGTTTGTCATAGATGGCTTTTATTAGGTTGAGATAAAGACCATCTATCTATTTCAATTTTCTGTAGGGATTTTATCAAGAATGAGTACAGGAATTTGTCAAATGCTTTCTGTATCTATGAGGTGATCATGTGATGTTTGTCTTTTCTGCTATCCCACTTTCAAGGAAAAGTAGTGCACACCATTCTCTTGAGCCCTAGCTTAGAGGATGGTTGTGCAGGACCTTGCTATCATCCTAGCACATAATTTGGCCTACTTCCTGTCTCTAGCAAGTCTGCCAAATACTACTCCTTTTCAGAAATGCTTACCTTACTCCTTTGCATGGACTGCATTTTGAGAGCAGAAGAATTAGTGTATTTTCAGCCTAAGATAGTTTGGTTTTTCTGTGTTGGTTGTTCTGATTAGTTCATAGCTCAGTCTCTGAGAGTTTCCGATGTGCCATGCTTGTTTGGGCCCCTCTAACCCTCATCTTTATCATGTGATCTGAGTGGAGCATTGAGAACTTCTGTAGTTTAATTTTGATGTGTCTTTCTATTCAAAAGGGAATCAGGATATTTATCTTCATTTTTGCAAGTTATTAAACTTACCTAGCCAGGTCCTTGGTTATTATAAATTTCAACAGCCTTGTTTTATATCTGCAGTGATTCTCACAATAAAGGTGTGTGCTAAGTAGACATTAAGTAGGCACTCAGTGAATGCTTGAAGAATCTCATGTAGAAAAATACAGAATTAAAAAAAAAAAAACCAGAATGGAGACAGCTGTGGTATAGCTGTGGTGGCACACACCTATAATCCTAAAACTCTGGGAAGGATAAGGCAGGATGATAACAAGCCTAGCCTGGGCCACTCAGTAACTTAGTGAGACCCTGTATAAAGAAAAAGGTGGGAGGAGCCAGGGATGAAGCTCAGTGCAAAGGCCCTGGATTCAGTTCCCTATGATATTGGTAGTAGAAGAGTGGGAAAATGTCAGCACGGTTTGCTTGTCCAGAGGCCATTGTAACAGTTTTATGTACAGAGCTTTTTGTGGAAGGAAACTGCAAAGTTCCTTATTCACAGATGGCCATATTCTATACCAGATAATTTATCCCCGCTGATAGACGATGGACATATTAGTCAGAGACCATTAATCTATACGTGAGAGCAGCAGTTTCCAAAGTGTGATCTCAAGCTCAGCAATGTCAGCAAGACCTGGATAGTCATCAGAAATACAGATTATCGGTGGCCACTAGAGATTTACTGAGTTGGACGCTCTAGAGGTGGCGTGGAGAGTTCCAGGTGATTTCATGCTCAGGTTTTAGAACCACCAGGCTAATGCATTTCAGGTGCCCTCTAACTGTTAGCTAAATAGTCAGGCTTTCTCTCAAGTCGTTGCACTGGTGAGTGGTAAAGGGAAGGAGGTAGGTGACTGGTAATGGAGCAGATGTGGGGTCTCCAGATGGAAGGCCTGACACAGAAGACAAAGATTGTGGAAGCCACAGGCTGGCAGAAGCTAGGTTCTGTGTAGCCATGGGATAAAGATTTTCAGAGTGAGGGGATGGCTGATGGCAGATAAGCTGGAGGAGCAGAGAAAGAGTCACCCAGTCATTACCACAGTAGTGGACTGTGGGTGTGCTTAGCTGCTGAGGAAAGTGGGGCCTTGGCATCTTGCAGGTATGAAGCTGCACTGAGCCTCCTTGTGTAGCCCGTCTGTGCCTCTCATGCCTGGCAGAGAGCAGGGTTCCTATTTCTCTGAATCCTATGTGCAAAAATTCATCATAATTCCTCAGTACTTGAGGTGACCTAAAGTTGTTTTGACAACAGAGCCCTAACACACCCGGATACACTGGTACATTTTGCCCTGTGGTTGAAATTCATGTACAGTACATAACAAAAATCCTTCTTTGTTAGGTGTAAAGTAGGAAAAGTTTCTGTATGTTGAAATAAGGCAAAAGGAATCTTAGCTTCTTATAGAAACAAAAGTAAAATAGGGGGTGATATTCTCACTTCTGTGGTTTGATTTCAGAAAAATGATCTGAAAACTGTATTTGGATAGGCTTACCAAAATGTTTGTTGAAAATATATGTTCAGCATTGTAAAATATAACTTCAATTTATACTATTATACTTTACATGGACTGAATTCTCCTCCTCCCATTCACATTTGAGCCATAACTCTCAATGGGATAGTATTTGAGGTTGCTGGCTGATAAGTAGGTTAGGAAGGGATCATGATGGGATGACACCCACTGGATATGATGGCATGTGACAGTGATCTCAGCTACTTGGGAGACTGAGGCAGGATTGAGAGTTTAAGATTAGCCTAGGAAAGGCTCAGTGCTTCCTGGGTTCAGTCCCTTGTACTAGAGGTAGGGATGGGGAGAAGAAAGGAAGGAGGGAGGGAAGGGAGAGAGACAGAGACAGAGACAGAGACAGAGAAACAGAGAGAGAGAGAGAGAGAGAGAGAGAGAGAGAGAGAGAGAAATAGAAACAGAGATACAGAGAGAGACTGAAGTAAGGATTTTACCCCACAGGGAGAATGAAGAGAGAAACTTCAATGAAGAAGAAAGTGGCAAGTGGCGCTTTTCCTCTGAGGCCTGACTACACCCAAGACCTCCATGGAGAAATACACCAGTGGAACAGAGCAGTGGATGCAGCAGACTTCAGTCACTGGTGTTATTCAGGTTCAGATGTCTCCAGAAAAGGGCAGTTGTTTTTATTTCTTCCATTTCTTTTTCCCTCCTATCTTCTTCATCAGTTGCCCAAAGTTTGCATAACCCTCCTTTGTCCTCCAGCCTTGCTTCTAATCTCTTTTCCTTTTCCCTTTTATCCTTTTCCTTGTTCCTCCTTCTACTCCTCTTCCTTCCCCTTCTCCTTCTATTTCTCTGTTTCCCTCTAACCCCTTTTAAATTTGCTCCCCTCAGGATAAATTCACCATGCTAAGGGCTTACTTATTGTGTACAATTTTCTGCATTGTTTTAGATTTTGTTATAACCACAAATATAGTTAATATGGATAAAGGTGGCAAATTAAGAGTTACCAGAGTTTGTCATTTTACGGGCTGTGTTTGATGCTATTGTTATTGCTATTTGTACTTCTTTAGCCAAGGTGACATAATTGTTCTTATCAGTTGTTCTTTCTGGTATGCCAAGACAGACTGCCTAAGGGTCATAAAAAATACTTTAGGCCAGTGCCAAATAGGCAACAATTTTTTATCTGTAATAAATTGAAGTGGTAGAATCTTACAACAGACTCAAAGCCCAAAAGCCATCTGAACCTGGGAAACATTTCTGAGAAGTAGTTATTTCCTAAGTGTTCTAAATATTAGCAATAAAGGTACTCATCATAAGTAATTTATGAGCATCAGCCCAGAAATTAAACTAAAAAAAAAAAAAAAGAAGGAAATGAGAAGACACTTAAGCAAGATGCAACCTGAGACTTCCAGCTCATCAAAGGCAAAATGAGGGACAATGAGTTGGAACAATTCAGAAATCTCTCTGAGGTGGTAAAACAAGTAACAAAGCAGATGAATGAGGCTCTAGAAAAAAATCAAATCAGAAATAATCTGTCACATAACTACAGAGATGGTGACTGTAATGAAAGATGTGGTTAGTGATTCTAGAGCAGATATGAATAAAAAATAAAGGAGCATAGGAAAATGATGGAAATCAGGAACACCCAATATAGGAAAGCAATGGAATCCATGAAACAGATTCAAACAGGTGTCTAGCAGATTAAAAATTCCATTGAAAGCATATGTAGCAGAATGAGCCAATGTGAGAACAGAATCTCAGATCCAGAAGAAGGATTGTGGTTAGCAATCATGAAAAGGAATATTTCTTAAAAACAGCAAGAGGCCATGAAAAAATCAATCCAATAACTGCCTGATGATGCAAAGAAGACTAACATAAGAGTGATCAGAGTCAATGAAAAAGCAGGAGATAGTGCAAATGACATAAAAATCTGTTCACAGAAGACAGAATATTTCCCAAGCAGGGAAAAACAAGTGACATATGGATAAATGAGGAATCTAGATCTCCAATTAGCCATGATTAAGAAACAAAACAAAACAAAAGTAGGCCAATGCATAATAGTCAACATTCCAGAAATTCAACACAAGAGCAGAATATTAAAAGTTATTAGACAAAAGAAAGAAATCATCTATAAAGGAAACCTCATCAGAATCATAGCAGATTTCTTAACACAAACACAAGTATTTAAAGCCCTAAAGAAAAACAACCTCGAAGCCAGACTGATGTATGCCACAAAAAAGTCTTTCAAAATTAATGGGAAAAAGATACTTCTACAACAAAGAACACTTGAAGAAATTAATAACTACCAAACAGCACTTCAAAATGTTCTGAAAGACATTCTAGAAATAGACAATGAGGACTATAACTCCATAAACCCCAACAGAATGTATCCACCAGGTAAGGCAAGCAACTAAACACAGCGGGTAAAAAAAGGGAACCACAACAGGAAAACATGACAAGGATAAGTCAATACATGTCAATTATAATCGTCAATATAAATGATCTCAATTTACCAATCAAAAGAAACAGACTGGAAGAATGGAAGCAAAGTCGAAGAATCTACCACAGGGGCTGGGGATTTAGCTCAGCGGCATAAGCACCTGCCTTGTAAGCAGGTGGTTGTGAGTTCAATCCCCGGTACCGATAAAAAGTTAAAAAAAAAAAAAAAAGAATGTACCACATACAAAAAATATTTAATTAAAAATGAAATTCATAAACTGAAAGCCAAAGTAGGAAAATAATACTCCATGAGACTAGAACCCAGGAAAAAAAAGCAAGGGTAGCTATTCTATTTGCAGGCAAAGTGGATTTTAAGCCAAGACTGATTAGAGACAAAGACGTTCACTACATCCTTGTAAAAGAAACAACCCAAGAGAAAGATAATAATAATAAATATATATATATATATATATATATATATATACCAAATACCAGCACACCTCAACTATATAAAACAAATATTAATGGACATGAAAAATTAAATAAGTATTAATACAATTATAATGGGGAACCTCAATACCGTACTGTAACAGATAAACTAGACAAAAAAAAAATCAACAATGAAATATCAGAACTGAACCAAATTTTCAGACAAATGGACTTAGATGTCTATAGAGTGTTCCACCCCACAACATCAGAATACACATTCTTCTCAGCTGCATGCAGGATGTTCTCCAAAATAGATTATCTACTAGCTCACAAGACATGCTTAAGTAAATGCAGAGAGCGAGCGAGAGGGACAGAGCAAGAGAGAGAACCTGCCCTTTCTCCTTGTATGACACATCAGGAAGGCAGCTGTCTACAAGCCTTGAACAGAGTTTGCACCAGAAACTGAGAATGCTCACACCTTGATTTTGAACTTCTAGTCCCCAGAGCTGTGAAAAATAGAGTTCTGTTGTTTTGAGCTTCCCAATCTGTGTCATTTTGTCATGGCAGCCTGAACTGATGAAGACACACTTCATATGATGTAACTTCACACAAGCCTACCTGTATGTTGTACAAATTCTTGTCTTTATGCATCTGCCCTTATTTTTACCTCAAACATCAAAAGATGACTTGGTAGCAATCACAAATCAGGGACATTTTCATAGGTTCCTTTGAGTATATTTTGGAGAGATCCAGGAGCCTTTCTTTAGAACTAGAGACCAAGTTGCCCTAATGAGAAATGAATTTGGTAGCATGTGTCATGCTGCTTGCCTTTTTTCCTTCCTTCCTTCCTTCCTTTCTTCCTTCCTTCCTTCCTTCCTTCCTTTCTTTCTCCCTTTCATTCTTTCTTTCTTTCTTCCTTCTTTTCTTTTCTTCCTTCCTTCTTTTCTTCTTCCTTTCTTTCTTTTCTTTTCTTTTTTGTACCAGGAATTGAAATCAGGTCCTTGTGCTTGCCAGGCAGGCATTTAGTGAAGCTATACCCCTTTGTTTTAAATCTCACTGCAGATTTTCTTGAAGCAAAGATAGGCTCAACTTGCTTGTTTTTTTTTTTTTTTTTTTGGCCTTAGAAACTGAAAACTTTCAAGACTTTTTGAACAGGCCTTTTTTCTGCTCTAGAGGAACTTGCCTCATCCTGCGAGGTATGCAAGGTAAGCCACATCTGTATTTCAGATGCTTGGATCACACCACAGACACTGGTTTGCTGCACAGACACTGGCTTGGAGGATATACTGGCTTTCCCAGAGCAGTTTTCACTGCAGCATTCGCACACTTGGCTTGAGTGGGACTTGTGTGCTGAATATGAGTCCACTATGTTCACTATGCCTTGTGGCAAACTCCACAATTTACCTGATAGCAGACCACAAGACCAGTATTCTTCCCTGCTTCATAAGCTGCTAAAGGGCTTACATATGTGTTATGCATCTAATAAAAATTTTAAACTAAGCTTGTCCAAATCTGCATGTCCAAATGCACACTATTCCACTAGAAATTTTCATTTTCTGATATGGGTTAAGATAGCTGTTGACTTGCACAAATGATGCTGGAGATGCTGAGAATTTTCTTTGAAACTAGAAATGATTTAACTGGGGAATTAATTAGCAGGGTGCTGCCCTTCCCTTTATGGGACCTGTAATTCAAAGATGTTTCTATAAGGACTTATTAACTGCTCTTAAATTTTCTTTTCCAGAGAAAGAGCAAGTCTAAAAAGTTTTGATTTTTTAAAAATTAGAAACTTTGGGGCTGGGGGTTTAGCTCAGCGGCATAAGCGCCTGCCTTGCAAGCAGGCAGTCGTGAGTTCGATCCCTGGTACCAATAAAAAAACGAAAAAGACCAAAAAAAAAATTAGAAACATTTTAGCATCATCTACATTGAATATAACCCAGGACCAGCGGTGGTAAACCTATGGCACCAGGGCCACAGTGGGCTATTAGTATTATTGAGAGCTCTAAAAGGTTCAGCATCACCGCCCAGGACACTCAGGTAGGAGCAGTTTGTGGAATCTTATTTTAAACCACAGTGCCACCTAAAGGACCATCTTGGGAATTTCGTTCAGAAGTTACCCAAACCTGTTGAAGTCTTGTGTACACAGGGATAGAAGGACAAACCCTAGAATCTCAGGATTTCAGATGTGGCAGGACTTTTAAAGATAGACAAGGTAAAACTTATACCCAAAGATGGAGTCACCTATTGCACATTTGATTAGTGGTTGTCTAACTCTGTTCAGTAAATGGAGATACAGCCTCATACAGCAGCTCATTTAGTATAGCGATTCCCTCTCATTTGCTGGGGATGAGACCCCAGACCCCAAGTGGATGCCTGAAAGTGTAGATAGTACCAAACCTGTCTTGCTCTGTGTTGTTTCTTGTGTCTCACACACATACACACACACACACACACACACACACACACACACACTACTTTCCCTGTCTTAAATAAACCCTTATCATGCATCATGCTTGTGACTATTGTAGTTGGAGATATAATGGCCAAACCAGTATGAATTTCTTTTTCCTTCTTCAGTTTTACAGAAAGCAGATTCAGTTTTACTCTAGACCTCAGCATACTTTTTTTTTCCCCTAATAGAACTCTCACTTTTTGACTTGTGGGAAATGTACTCGCTAGCCACTGATTTCCTGGGGTAAACTGACAAAGACAGATGAAATAGGAGAAAAGGCAAATGGGTCCATTGTGTGCACAGAGGCACTCGCACAGTGTAATTATACACAGCTACATATGGTTCCTAGGAGGAGAAGGGGGAGTGTAGATGAATTTGAGGAGCTGTGAATAATTTTTTGGTGAACTCAGTGGGCTGGAGGATACACAGTGACCTACAAGAAAGTCTTTTTGGCTTGTACAACAGATAATAATATGCAAATTATTATCTTTGGAATAGTGAATGGGATCAAAATAGAAAACAGTGGTGAGAGGCAAATGTCTGTCCATGTGTGCTGGCCGACTTGAATCTCTCTTTCTGTGAGTTGAGTTTATTACATTATTGGAAGGTTAGGGGCAGGGCCAAAGGTGTTGGTTTTTTCCTTGGCACATTTAGACTTTAACCAAAGAGGTATCAGAGGAAGGCCTCTCCCAGCCTTTGCCACTTGTTACCATTTTAAATTTAGAATAACTGTGCCTGGGTGTGTTGTGCAGGCCTGTAATCCCGGTGTTTGGGAGGCTAAGGAGGAGGATTGCTGCAAGTTTAAGGCCAGCCGGGGCTATACTGTGAGGCTGTACTTCCAAAACAAACAAACAAACGAAGTTCACATAGGCCTGGTGCTAGGGCTTCGTGGTAGAGGCCTTGGGTTTGGACTTCCCCTCTCCCAAGTATCTCTACCTTGTGCTTTGGGACCATTATTAAATACAATAAGGGCCACTTGAACACAAGCACTGGCAAACCAGTACAGTTGATCTGATAACCCAGCTAGTCTAGTGATGACAGCATGGTAGTGTAGATGGCATGGACATGTTGGATGTGCTGGACCAAGAGATGATTTGCTTCTTCAGCAGGATGGAGCAAGGTGGTGCAAGATTTCATTTTAGGATTCTACACACTATTTACAGAAAATATGAGTTTATTTCTGGAATTTTGTATTTAATATTTTGAACAATAACTGACTGCAGGAAAGCAAAACTGTGACGGTGGCCCTGTATAGTGGCCCTCATACTTCTGCTCTCTGCCTGGCTTCTTATGTCCTTCAGCAGTGCCACAGCACAGAGTTATGCCCATCAGGTACTTTCCATCTTTAAGATATTGCTGCCATCTCCTGCTCTCCTCTTCTCCTCTCTCATTCTCATTCTTCTTATAGATTTTTACTTTTTTTTCTTCAAAAAGTTCATCAGTTATTATTTTGATAGTCTTTTAAAAATTTTTATTTTATTTTTTATAGTTCATGCTGGCCCTAAACTATATAACCCAGGCTGATTTTGAACTTGCAGCTATCCTCCACCGTAGGTTTACAGAAGACATAGAACTACAAGCAGGAAGTCAACTCCACCATGTTTAATTGGAAGTCTGGTTGTGTTTTTCGCATTCTGTTCTTATGTATGAAAAAAATGTCTGCTTAGGGCATTTACATTTGTGTCAATTAAAATTTTTATTAAGTTTGCCTTACTGTTATAACCTTTGGATCTTCACTCTGTCATTCAGTAAATTGGTTCCCTTTTCCAGCCACCAAAGAAGTGCACGCCCTAGCCAGCTGTATCCTCAGTTACTCATTCAGTGAACTGGACCAAGGCTGAAGACAGAATCAGGTGACACTACAGGACTTGACTCATAATTAGCGTTTATCTCTGTGACCATTTGGGACTCCTCTGTCTTGTTCACAGTGCTGGAACAGAGAGTGGAATGCTTGCCCTGACTTGCTGGCCTGGCAGGATTTGGCTAGAAAGGTTTGTTCTTTCTGAATCTTAAGGATGAGTAAGTGTTTCTTTCTTTCTTTCTTTCTTTCTTTCTTTCTTTCTTTCTTTCTTTCTTTCTTTCTTTCTTTTTGAGACAAGTTCTTTATGTAATTCAGGCTGACCCTAAACTCACTTTGTAGCCCAGATTGGCCTCGAACTTACATTGATCATCCTGCCTCAGCCTGCCAAGTGCTGGGATTACACATGGGGTGTGCCACCATGCCCAGCTCTTCCTGTGTTCAGTGAGGTTTGATAACCATCCAAGTACCATAATGTTCATTTGTGTCTCAGAATTCTTTGGAGGGAATAGACAACAGCTCATGTTGTCACCAGCATCTTCCAGTAGGATACTGGGGTATTATGGGCCTTGGCTTGGAGATCTGCACTGATGTAGTGAACCCAAGTGCTTTCTCCTAGCCCTTTTACCAGTTTGGATTTTTAATCTTTCATCAGATTTTTGTTGTACTATTTTTCTATCCAGTGATCTTTCTCCTTGGCAGAGATGAAAGACAGGAGATGAAGTGCTCTGTGAACTATATGTCTATCTGAATTATCAATCTTCCCTTCCCTTGTTCAAACTCATTATGCTTGTGTAATTTCAAAATGTCATTTAAGTTGGCCTTAACTTTTAAAGTTGGTAGTTGAGCATGTTGGTTTACAAGGAGTTGCCTGTTATTCTTTATCAAATAGCTTTGTATTGGGCTGGGATATAGTAGCATATGCTCTGTAGAGTTCATGGCTTAGAATCTCAAGGTTTACCCTTACATTCAGGAAGAAAGAAAAATACCTCAGAGTTCTTTAGTGCCCCATTGAGTTACCTGCCTTTTTCTCAAGTGTGGGCAGGATCTGACCTTACCTGGTAGGGCGAGGATGTTCAGAGTATTCAGTCTGCGTGTCCAGGTTCATCCTCCTGCTTGCTCCAGATCCTTAAGTCCCTGTCCCCCGGCAGCCAGTCTGCTCAGGCTACATCAAAGGCCTGGTGCCTCCAGCTTCCTGCAGGTGTGGGAGGGAGGGAGACAGGAAGCTGGGCTTAGGATGTTTATCTCCATTTCCTTTCTGTCAGTAGTCCCCTCAGCAGAACATCACTGTGCATTTCTAGGTGGCCCCATCCATACTGCCCTCTGCCTCTCCATGCTCTTTTCCCTTTGATGATGATGACATTGGATGACATTGGATGAAAAGGACGATGACATTGCTCTACCACTGGGTCCCCTAAGTCGGTGGTGGTGAACTGACAGTGTGTGTGCCACAGCCAGCTGTTTGTTTCATTACAAGTTCTAAAAGGTTCGATGTCACTGCCCGAAGCCCACCTGCCTGTATATATAGTTCTCTGTAAATAAAATCTCTACAGAATTTCTATTTTGTGTGCACCATCTATTTTTGTTATTTGGCATAGGAGACTGTGATCAATACAGAAATCTGAAACTGCAAGGGAGCATTTTATGGGATCGTGAGTGGACACTCTAGGAAATAAACTTTTGTAGGATTTTTTGGTATAAAATATAGAAAAAGTTTGAAGTCAAAGGTAGAAATTATTTAGTCAGTTTTTATTTATTTGTTTTTAGTCTGTTTTTAGATGGAATATCAAGTTTTTTTTTCTTGTAAAAATGCCTCTGTAAGATGAGTGTGGTGGTCCATTCTTATAATCCCACTTACTGGGGAGGCTGAGGCAGGAAGATCACAAATTTGAAGCCTATCTGGGTAATTTAGCAAGATTATGTCTAAAAATGAAGAAATAAAAAGGAATGAGGGTATAAATTAGTGTAGAGTTCTTGCCTAGCATGCTCCGCCTCCCCAAAAATGCCTACGTAACTGAATGCTACACTAGAGAAAGGATTACTGATATTTTGGTTCTCATACTGTTGAATAAAAAATGTGCTCAGATATATTAAAAAAGTGAATAGTTTCTAGGATATATAAGGAACTCCTGCAAATCAATGTAAAACAAAAAATGCAGAAAAATGGGCAAAAGATATAAATAGACAAGACACAGATGGAAAAATGTATGAAAAGATGCTGAACCTCACCAGTAATCTGGGAAAGCAAACTGAAATGCAGCATAGCACTTCATATTTATATATGGCAAAAATAAAGCCATATAATAGTCTGTGAGAGTGGGTGTGAGTGTAAATTGGCACAACCACTTTGGAAAATAATTTAGCAATATTTTCTAAAGTTGAACGTAAGCATACTATAGGATTTAACAACTATTTGTAGGTATCTGTTGGTCTAGAGAAACTTTTGCATGTTAAGATCAGGAGACATACAAAGATATATATTACAGCATTGTCTGTAAATTATGAAGGTTGGATAAAAGCTAATTGTCCATCAAAAAGGGATGTATAAATAAGCAGGTTATGTTCATATGATGGAATGATGCAGAGTGGTTAAAATTAATGAACTAGAGCAACATAATTAGAAAAGAATACTTTTTCTAGTACTGGGAATTGAATCCAGTGTTTTCACATTGCGCTATATTCCTGGCCCTTTTAAAATTTCCCTTTTTTTCCTGTTTGTTCATTTTAGTTTGTTTTATTTTTTGAGACTGGTCTTTACTCTAGAATTCAGGTGGTCCTTGAATTCACTGGGTGTCCCTGGCTGGTCTTGAACTCATGGTGATCTGCCTGCCTCAGCCTGCTGTGTGGGTCCTTACATTTTTTATTTGGACACAGGATCTCACTAAGTGGTGAAGCTATCTGAGCAGGGCTCACATTTGTGATCTTCTGCCTCAGCTTCCCCGAGAGCTAGGAACAGCGAGTTGTATTTTTAAAAGATGTTTTAGAAAGATGTGTATTGGATACTACAGTTTTTCTAGTGATGAATAGAATATAAGAATATTTGTTTACAGTTGTGTATACACTGAGGCAAACACAGACTAAAAGACGAAGCCTGATGTTTGATAGTGTGCAGTTCTCCCTGGTGGGGGGAAACAGGTGAAGAAGCACAAGGGTGGCACTGCAGCGTCCACCTCACCATTCTCCGCCCTCTTCCCACAGGGCTGGCCTCTCTTCTCCAGCACCAGCACCAAGACTCCAGTCGGGCACTTTGTCCTCACCCTGCACCCCAAAGAGTGGGTGCGGAGCCAGTCGTTCTCTAAAGGATTCACTCTTTCTCTTTTCTATTCCCTTCCTTTTCTATGCTCTATTTGCCTTGTGTCTTTTCTTCTCTCTCCTACCTCCCCTTTTCCCCACTCTTTCCCTCCCTTCCACTCTCCCCTTCGCCCTTTTCCCTCCTCCCTCCCCCTCTCTCCTGCACGACTTTGGGTGGAAACCAGGTCCTTACACATGCTAGGCTAGCACTCTACCTCTGGGCCACAACCCTAGCTCTGGGTCGTGCATTTTTCCTTTTTTAAAAGGAAAAAAAAAAATGATAAAAATGATGATACAGAATTTCAAAACAAAACAATAAGGAGATTAACAATGGTTAATATATTGCTTACTAGTTTGATTTTACTCTATCTGATAGTATGGATAGCAATTTTGAAGAGAATAAGAGGCATTATGGTAGCCATTATTGATTTCCTTTTATCTTGTTTTGAAGTCCTGTATCACGTTGTTTTGTTTTGATTGACTCTATTCTGTTTTATTTTGCTTGGTTTTATTCTCTTCAAAATAAAAAAATAAAAAATATTTCTTACTGTTATCTTCAAAGTAGTTGCTCAGAATACAAGACATAGGCATAAAAATAATCAGCGAAAGCACAAACCATGCTTTTTGATGAACTAACAGATAAGTAGTATAATTATTTATCATGTACATGTGTATACATTTTTCTTTCTTTCTTTTTTCTTTTCCCCACCCCAGTTTCCTTTTGAGTAGTTTCTTCCTCTTTCACTTTCACAATATCTATTATACATTTTGAATCTTATTTACTCTTTCAGTTTCTTATATTAGGTAGACAATATGATGTTTACCCATGCGAGTCTGATTTATTTCACTTATGAATATGGTTTCAAATTGCATTTATTTATCTATAAAAGCCATGAGTTTATCCTTTTTTATAGCTGAGTAGTACTCCATTGTATAAAAATATCATATCTTTTTTTTTTTGGTCTTGGGGATCGAACTCATAACCTTGCACTTGCCAGGCAGGCACTTATGCCACTGAGCTAAATCCCTGGCCCACATGTTTTTTCTTTTATCTGTTCCTCAGTGGATGGGCATTTGGGTTGTTTCAAAGGGTTACCTATTACAAATTGTGTTTCTATAAACATGGGTGCACATACATTACTGCAGTATGATGTTTTCATTTCTGCTGGGAAAATACCCAGAAGGGAAATAGTTGGGTTGAATGGGACTTTCAATCCTAGTTTTTTGAGGAATGTCCACTGATTTTGACAGTTGCACCATTTTACAACCCTACCAACAGTGTAAAAGTGTCCTTTATCCCCCTAGCCCTGCCAGCATTTGTTATTGATTGATTTCTTGATTGTAGCCATTCTTTCTGTAATAAGATGGAATCTTGGTGTTGTTTTAATTTGCATTTCTCAAATGACCAATGATGTTGAAAAAATTTTCAAATATTTATTTGGCATTTGTGTTTCTTTATCTGAAAAGTGCACACTCATCTCAGATGCCCATTTTTGGATTGGGTCTTTGAATTTCGGGGCTTGATTTTTTCAATTCTTTATATATTCTATATAAAAAATCCTTTGTCTAGGGGACAGTTGGCTAAAATATTTTCCTGCTCTGTGGGTTGTCTTTCACTCTGTTGATGGTTTTTTTTTTATGTGCAGAAACTTTTTAATAAGATGAGATTCCAGTTGTTGATTCTTTGAAGTACTACCTGTGCAGTTTGTTTTTTTTAATGAACTTTCTGCCTACCCTCTATACCTACCTGTGTTGTCTTCCAGTAGATTTAGTGTTTCTGTTTCAATATTTAGGTCCTTGATCCATTTTGATTTTAATTTAGTGCATGGTGATAGAGATGGGTCTAGTTTTAGTCTCTGGCATGTTTTTCCTGGAACCATTTATTAAAGAGGCTATCTTTCTTCCAGTGAACATGTCTGGCCCCTTTATCAAAGATAAAGTGGCTGATTGTGTTTGGAGTTGTGTCTCTATCTTCTTTTTAATAACTTTTTTTTTTTTGTATTTTTCTTTTTTATCGGTACCGGGGATTGAACTCACGACTGCCTGCTTGCAAGGCAGGTGCTTATGCCGCAGAGCTAAATCCCCAGCCCCCTGTGTCTCTATCTTCTAATCTGATCTTCAGGTCTGTTTTTTTTTTTTTTTGCCAGTACCATGCTGATTTTATCACTGTAGCTTTGTAGTATAATTTCTTTTTATTATTATTATTTTTTTGTAGTATAATTTCAAGTTGGGGATTGTGATGCCTCGTGTGTTGCCTCTGTTGCACAGGATTTGCATCTTAATTTAATAAGTAAACATTTCCCACATATCAAGTAGACAGCATAATTCTTTAGTTAACATTTGAAACCCTACCTTTTGTTCTGCTGACTTAGAGTGCCATATTTCCCGTCCCATGCCCATCCCATCTGCTTTGGGGATGTAGTCGTACTGCATGCTGCACTGGAATTGAAAAATCTGTGATTTGTTCAAATCTGCAACGTCTTCAGTGGCCTTAGTTCAGAGACTAAAAAGACAAAAATGATTTATTTTGAAGTAAGATGATTTTTTTTTGTTTGTTTTTTGAAGCAGGGTCTCACTGTGTAGTCCAAGCTAGCTTTGTATTCATTATTATATGTAGTTTAGGAGTGATCCCTTTCCTTAGCCTCCCAAATACTGGAATTGTAGGGGTGTGCCACAACTCCAGGCATTGAAGTAATACATTCTTTAAAGTCAGGGACATGAAGAGTCTTTGCAAAATTCTTTTCCAAGTGCCTAAGAAGTTATACACAAGTTCTTAGAAGTGAGAAAGGAAAGGGAGAATTCTTCCAGCACCTGAGCACACTCTTCTATAGTGGATTTCACAACATTCACCACCCTGTAGGACCATGCACATGAGTTATTTCCTGTTAGTTTAACTTCTCCAGGATTTGACAACAACCAATTCCTGTTCTGAATCCTCAGAGATGAGAGTGTCACACACCAGGACTCTTCCTCATCACTCCCCTGTCATCTCCCTGGGGCCCCTGAAACAATACCCATGATGGCTGTTGGCAGGAACTGGAAGTCAAGACAGAGCTGGGCTTTCCCTGCGTGGCCCTTCCGGTGCAGCGCTTTGATGTCTTTCCCTGCCAGTCTTCATGCATTTATTATTTGACTTTTCTAGTGTATGTTTCTTTATGAGTGGCGTTTCCTAGTCTCCCACCCCCCATCATGTTGTGTTCTATACCTTGTGGTAGCTCCAAGGAGAATTGCTTGGGTAACAGTTACTGGACTGGAGGTCACAGAGGAA